TACACACCCTTGTCAAAAGTCCCTCTCCAATCAAGAGATGTCTTGTCCTTCTACCAGTGCTACAGAAGAACAGCTCAAACCATGTTCCCCACCGTACAGCTGACTACTTTGTTGTGAAATAACCTCTGTTAAATAGAGGCTACTGAGACAAAATACATCAGATGATTTGCTGTGACGAACTGCAGCTGGAGGGCTGTAAACAGCATGGATTGTGTTTGAATTATTTAATCTCATTTTGTCTTTAGGCAACTTCGGAATGGACCCTGGATTATCCCCCGTTTTTTGCTTGGTTTGAATGTGCGCTTTCGCATGTTGCCAAGTACTTTGACCCGGAGATGCTGGTTATCGAAAATCTGAATTACACCAGTCGTGCAACCGTCTTCTTCCAAAGATTTTCTGTCATCTTTACAGACATTCTTTTCATATATGCTGTTCGTGAGTAAGTCTTAATGCCTTAATTTTAGAGACAATGGGTAGCCATTAATACATGGACTCTTTCTACAGTAACAACAAATAATTTTTTGTACAAATAAGCTTGTAAATGCATGGAAATATCAAAGTTGCTTTAACCTATTCAAGGAGAAACTTGGAACGTGCTGCTAAATGTGAGAAACTTTTTATTGCTCTTGGAGATGGTCAGATTTGTGCACGTTCCAACATTAGCCACTGTTTCCGACATTATGGGTGTTTTGTTTCTGTTGCTGAGTTTGTTTTGTGGGACTTGCAGGACAGCTTGGGTGCACCCAACTCTTGTTTACCTGTTTTCTTACTACTCTGTTCTTCTAGAGTTAGAAGCGTAAAGGAAACTTGTGACAAAATGCCAGTATTATCGAATATGCTAAGTCATTCCAATGTTTTTGATGTTCTTGATGCTAAACTAATTATTCCAAGTCTAATTTAACAATCATAAGATTGCATGTGTGCCTTGACTTTGTGAAGCAGAAATGTTTATCTTGCACCTAAAGAGTAGAGGGAGAGAGATGTTTTGAGAACTGTGTTGCCCACCTTACCTGTAACAATCTTACCTCACTTTGTTTCATCTGCTCAACATCTGGGTGGAAAGTTCTCCGTTGCGCTGGAGCACTACCTGAGCTCCTTTATTTACTTTCTTTGTTTGAAACGGACTAGCTTTACATTATTACTTTTTTTTTTCATTTTAATTGTTTTTACTCAGATGTGTGAATGAGCTGGCTTTCTTCAAATTGCTCTACTAATAGTATTTCAACACAAATTGTCCACGACTTTTTAATCTGATCTAACCTTGCCTTCAAAAAATAACATGGACCGTATGGCTTTACACTGAGAAGTAGTAAGATATTTTTAACCAACAGAAATAGCTCATAACATTGCAGGGGGAGCCAGGAAGAGGTTAATGGCCAACAGAGGACCTTAAATACAACTTGAGATGATGTCTCTAGATGTGGTGATGCTTGTTCCCTCATGAGAAGTTGACAGCAAACAGGTTATGTCAACTTGAGTTATTATGGACTGTGAGACTTGAACCTGAGCCTTAAGTTACTTGACATAAGCTTTAGCATGTGGAACATACCACAGCTAACAAAATTTTAAATCTTTTTTTTACTAAACTTTATTCATGACACACTCTTCTCTTGATGGATTTAGCAAGAATTTTATCATTGCCTTCCATCCTAATAAAATAGTTATCTTCAGGTTAAGTGCACTTCTCAGCTCATAAAAGCAACAACGTTTTTCTTGGCTATTTCCATTCAGACTTCTGTTTCTTCTGCTCTTGTTCAGGTGCTGCAGATGTGTAAATGGGAAACGAGCTGCAAAGGATATCCTGGAAAAACCAACCTTTATTCTTGCTGTTCTGCTCTTGTGGAATTTTGGGTTGTTAATTGTGGATCGTATCCTTTAAAACTGTTGCGGGTTGTTTGTGGGTTTTTTTAATCTGTTACAGTGTGTGGTACAAACCCATTAATATTATTATTACCATTACAGCAAGTAACACTATTGTTTGCATTTCTGGGGTTAGTTGAATAACTTCATGCTTTCATTAGAATTGTTTTTTGGCAAAATGGAAATGGTTCAGTTTTTGGTCTGATTTGCCAGAACCACAGGAGGACCAGTCTGGCAGCAGCGTGCCTGGTCCTGCTGGCTCCTCCTCCTCCTGCTTACAGAATTATCAGCAGAGAGCCTCTTTTTTTTTTTTTTTTTTTTCCTGGTGTGGTTCTAGGTTTGTCCCATGACAAAGAAAATCTCAAAGTGCTTGATGTTCAGGCTGCATTCAATTGGTTAATGTTACATGAGAATTAGGGAGGTTTTTTGAAGAGGATATAAAAACACCTCTGAAAAGTTCAGTTATTGTGAGTCAATCTTGCCGTTCATTGATCTCGTGGAGGAGGGAACAGAGCGGAGAAAACAGTAGTTCTTTTGCAGGAAGGACTAGTTTTGTCTGCCACAGTCCTTGTCCACGTTGCCTGCTTACAGGTGGTAGGTGATAAGTGAGGACTACTGTCTCCATCCATTAGCCAAAGCACTCAAAAAGTGGAGAACTAACCTTTTATTTGTTTTGGTTTCTCTCATATAAGTTGCACAACACACATGGTCAGATTGGCACACTTCATTTTACCAAGATAACGTACTAGTCTTAATAAGCTGTGCTTACAGGTATGAGTAATGACTTCATGTCCGTGTAGAGAGAGTTTAGGGTTGCTTTTTTGACTTAAGTTCCATTTTAATTTGCATTTATTGTTTATAAATTGGAGTCTTGCCCAGAAAACTGACAGTAGTAAAGAAAGCTTGCTGTATTCCTTCCTTGACTTGGTTCAGATGTTCATTTTCAGTACAACGGCTTTCTGTTTGGGCTGATGCTGCTCTCTGTTGCCCGGCTGTGTCAGGTAAACTCGAGCGGCTCTTTCCTGTTGTTGCCATGTGCGGTTCGGGTGCACCTTCAATACCAGCAGCCCGATGAAGTGATTGGGAGTGGCTGGAAGTCGAGGCGTGCTAAGCTGGATGGCTAATTACTTGTTGAGTTGGAGGGGTAGAGAAGTGCTTGAAACTCGCCGGAATCGCTTGCCGATGCTGCAGCATTGCAGTTCCCTGTGAGAAAGCTAAATTCCGTGTTACACCTGAGCAATGTGACATGGTTACCTTCCATCTTACCCTCTTCCACATCGCCAGTCCTTAGAAAACACACTTCTGAGGCTGTGGGGAGGTGAGGCCTATCCCAGTTTTCCAAATATCCTGTGCCAATATGTTTTCCTTCTCCACACTTGTTGTGCATAACGGTGCTGCATTTGTAACTTGAAGCATATATTCATTTTTTATACCTATGATAAGCATCCTGTCACCTTAGGAGTGTGACAGAGGGCCATCAAGAGGTAGTACAAAGGGAGAACAAGTATAAAACTTGGCTTTTGTTTGTTTTTTCCTTTAGAAAAGATATTTGGAGGGCGCTCTTCTGTTTGCTGTTCTGCTGCATTTCAAACACATCTACATATATGTGGCCCCAGCATATGGCATTTATTTATTACGGTCCTATTGCTTTACTGCAAATAACGCAGGTAGGATGGGTTTTTCCTCACTTTTGGGGGATTGAGTTAATTAGTGGGGCCTAATTGTGTTAATTAGGGAAGCCTCAAGACGTGCAGATGCTATTGAAATGAAACGGCCGTGGGTCAAACGAAAATTCTGTTTGGGTAGCAGTTGGTGAGATCTTTAAAGGTCTTTGAAATTTATTTATGTAAAATTCATGTTTCTAGGGAGTTCTTTATTAAGAAAAACTAACGTGAACAAACTGCAGATGGCAGTTTGAAGCCATAAGATTTCTTCCGGACCTGAAAGTTAGATAGTATCAGAAGCTATTTCAAAGTCCTTCTTTGAGTTTCTCTCCACTTCTTAGCACTGAAAAAACGTGTTTGATGTTCCTCACTTCAGGAGGCACCTCTCTTGAAAGAGAAAATACTGGAAGTTTGTCTAATGGAGGAAGCTGCAGTGTGGAGAAAATAAATGCAAACCAACTGTTGAAGGAAGCAACTGCACGTATTGACATAAAAGGCTGTTTATGTTTCTTTTAGATAGGTGCTAGGAGTTCACTGTTGGTGTGCAGTGGTTTGCCTCCCTCTCTACCTGCAGCAGTAACTTTCATAATCTGTTTGCTTCTTGCAGATGGATCCCTGAAGTGGCGAAGTTTCAGTTTGCTTCACGTAACTCTTCTGGGACTGATGGTCTGTCTTGTTTCTGCTCTTTCCTTGGGCCCCTTCATAGTGTTGGTAATAACCCCTTTTTCACCTGTTATTCCCCTGAACTCTTAGTAAATTGTTATGAAAATATATAAATCATGTCTCATCTTAAAGAGACCATTTATTTCTCATTTTTGGTTTCTGTAGGGCCAGCTGCCTCAAGTCATTTCACGGCTTTTTCCTTTCAAGCGAGGCCTCTGCCATGCTTATTGGGCCCCAAACTTCTGGGCCTTGTACAACGCCATGGATAAAGCACTGACAATTTTGGGTACAGTATGCTAATCATACTATATGGTGCCTAAGTGCACCTATATACCTATATGGTGCCTAAGACAAAGCTCACTGGATTTTAGTCTTCCTTCCCCATTCGAAATGAGATTTTCAGATTGCCTTAAATCACCTGAGTGTCCACATAATCCAGTGCATGATAAGTTTCCAGCAGTAGGTCAGAAATCAATCATTCCTCTCTGCTGTCCTTTAAAAAACAAAAGCCTTAACCATGAACTTCATTCAGTTACTTCGTGTTCTTCATTGACATTTATCAGTTTGTGCTTTTTTATGTTTTTATTTTTAGGTTTAAAGTGTAATTTTCTTGATCCCACAAAAATTCCTAAAGCCTCAATGACAGGAGGGCTGGTTCAAGAATTCCAGCATACTGTCCTCCCTTCTGTGACTCCACTGGCAACATTAATCTGTACTTTCATATCTATATTGGTAAGAACAAATAATATTCTTTGGAAACTTGATGTGTTTTGTCCCCCATAGATTGTATTTGATTAGCATGCACTTCACATGAATTTAAATCCCAGGGCAACAAATGAGTTTTCTTTAAAAACAAAAATAATAAAAACAATTTTTAGGTTAAATATGGAATTAATCTTTCTGGATACACAATATTACTTCAAGTATGGCTAAAATTATGGCCCCTGTCAACTCTGGAACAGTTAAAAGATTGTTAAAAGCTGTCTTGGACCAAAACCACTCTGCCTGCTGGACTAGAAGTAACCTTTTGTGATAGAAGGTAGTAGAACTAAGATGTGAGTAGAAGTGCTGATGGAACAGTTTGGGCAGCTTATGGTGTTCCTAACAGCATGAGCTACAGGTAAGCGTGTTGTTCTTCACGTGACAAGCAAATAATTGAAGGTTCAATACCTTTAATTACCTGAACAGAGTCTTTTTTGCTGTAACAAGCAACTAGCTTTTAACTGGAAATCTTTGTTTCAACCCCTTTATGTAGTAACTTTGCTAAAATGAGTTTCGTGGCATAGATTCAAAGACAGTTTTTGCAACACAAATAACGGGGAGTTGGCTGTGGGCTTTCAGACAGCTTTTCCCCTCCCGTTGCACTGATGAAGTCCTTAAGGCTCTACTCCAACATCCAAATAGACACGGTTCCTCCGGTGCTGCGTAATGCTTGCGCCACCAGGCGCAACCTGGGAGGAGTGGTGTTTGTTAACACTGAAAAAAACCCAAATCTCACTGGACAATGTTTTGTGTTCAGGGTTGCCAGACTTTTCACTGAAGTCCTGTTTTTGCCTGTTGTTTCTAGCCCTCTGTTTTCTGTCTTTGGTTTAAACCTCAAGGGCCCAGGGGCTTTCTTCAGTGCCTCGTGCTTTGTGCGTTGAGCTCCTTCATGTTTGGCTGGCACGTGCATGAAAAAGCAATACTCCTCGCTATTCTGCCTTTAAGGTAAGTGAGTTTTGTTCGTAGGGCTTGGCCAAACTGAACCTGCAGCCACTTGTTGAGAAACCCTCAAAGAGGCTCACTTTGTTTTCAGTGTATTTCAGAAAACGAAGGTGTTTCTAGAATGCCTGAAGCTGTAAAGTTTTAGCATGCTTCAAGTAAATTAATTTCAGACACAGCAGAATGTGGCCACCTTAGCAAAAGAATGTGCTGATGCTATCTAGGAACCTGATGTGGTTTAAACAGACAAATAGATCTTTTACGATACACAACCCACTGGCTTACACCTTACAATAGTTTGCATCAACAGAAGATTTAATTAGGAAGATTTAATTAGAGCTTTATTGGTAGGAGCCGATTCCCGTCTCGGCTCCGTGAGGCGCAGCAAAGCTTTGTACTAATTTTGGCAACCTGGTGTAGTGGAGGGTGTCCCTGCCCACGGCAAGAGGGTTGGAACTAGACGATCTTTGAGGTCCCTTCCAAGCCAAATCATTCTATGATTCTAATGTACAGACAACTGGAAGAATGGAAGCGTACGGTGTTGGGAGGATTGAGCAGTCAGTTTAGGAGTCTGACACGTGGGCCTTCCCACTATGTACACTTTTTGTGTCTCTGAATGGTGTTGTGTGAAGATCCATGTGATACAGAAAATCTGTGTTTTGATTCAGGTGCTTGATTGCTGTTAGAATAATGAAAAAAAAAAAACCCAACCCGAGACAACAAACCCAACCCAGAAACCCAACCCATGCTTATGGAAGAATGGCCTTCAGACTCTAGGCTGGATGTGGATCCACAGCTCTCTGCTGAAGCCTCCTGTTCTTAGTGACATCTTGGGAGCAGGCTTGATGAAACGTTTCACTCGTGACACGGTGGACAAAAGCAGGCTGCTTCCTTAGGGTCTTTCGTTTCCCCCACTGTTGTTACTGCATTCATGGAGTACTTTGATTGCACCTGGAAAGTCCAAGGCCTATTTGTTGTGTGTCTTGTGGCTTTGCCTTTCGAAGAGAAAACTTAATTGGCTTGCCTGACTTGAAGTCTTAAGTTCTTTTTCTCTCTGAATACTTGAGAGATCTACTGTGACAGAGACAAATGTAAAAATATTGTAGTCTTGTAGCTGCTGGGCAGCTCAAGCCTTGAGGAGTGCTGTGTTTCATGTTTGTTGTGGCTTAGCCCCACACAGCTGCTCACTCACTCTCCCCCATCACCAGAAAATTAAGAAGACAATTGAAGGGGAAAATGGAAGGAGACCTGTGGGTTGAGATAAGAACAATCTAATAATAATATATACAAACAAGTGATGCATCATGTAATTGCTCACCACCTGGTGAGCAATGCCTGTCCCATCCTGGCAAACGATCCCGAAACAGATCAATCCCAACACTGTAATCCCAGATGAGCGAGAGGCCCGAAAAGAGAGTGCGAAAGCTCCTGGAAGAGCAAAAGCCCTTCTTTCTGGTCAACCTTCCTCTATATACTGGGCATGAAGGTGCATGATAGAGTACTGTATTGGCCAATTTAGCCCTCAATCCTAAGTCTTAAGTTCAAATCACAAGGGGGGTTGTGGACCCTTTGTCCCATCCATGCTCCCTCCAGCCTGTTGTGCTCTTGCACTGGGGGTTGTGGACCCTTTGTCCCATCCATGCTTCCTCCAGCCTGTTGTGCTCTTGCACGCTGGCAAAACATGAGAAACTGAAAAGCCCTTGAGGTCTCAGCACCAGCTATAAATGTCAGGGTGCTGTCAACATTAGAACCATAGAATGGTTAGGGTTGGAAGGGACCTCAAAGATCATCTAGTTCCAGCCCCCCTGCCATGGGCAGGAACACCCTCCACTACACCAGGTTGCCCAAAGCCTCATCCAGCCTGGCCTTGAACACTTCCAGGGATGGGGCAGCCACAGCTTCTCTGGGCAACCTGTGCCAGTGTCTCACCACCCGTATTGTAAAAAATTTCTTCCTTATATTCAATCGCAATCTCCCCTCTTTCAGTTTAAAGCCGTTGCCCCTTGTCCTATCCCTACATGCTTTTGTGGAAAGTCCCTCTCCAACTTTCTTCTCATAACAAATCCCAGACTAAAACCAAAGCACAGAGCTTTTCTAGCTGCTAAAAAGAAAAACTAACTCTGTCCCAGTCAAAACCAGGACAATGTTTAAAACGCTAGGTGGATTGTTAGGAGCCAACTGAGGAAAGGGACCTTCTGCACCGTCCTTGACGAGACCTGTAGGCAATTCCTACCAAAAGCACTTAATGCCTGCTGAGGGTAGAAGTGAAGCTGTGGTTTGTAAACTGCCTGACCAGTATCATGACAAACTGTCTTTTCCTATTCAGAGATTCAGTGATATTTAAATGCTTGAAGTGGAAATTGTGGAAGGGAGAGAATTAACACTGGAAAAACAAAAGGAAGGAAAAACAGTAGGGACGACAATGTCGGCAGCCATCTGGCAAAGGAAAAAGATCATTTGTGGGAAACTCCAGGCCTTTCTGATGTTTGTGTTCCGCGGGTGTGTGGTTTTCTGGGGAAGGGTTTCCTGGCTGATTTTTCTTCTGCGTTTCTATCTCTGAGGCCACGTGGTTTGGAAGCGGGAGACTTCATCGCAGGTCCAGTGTTTGGAGGGACTGGGGTACTGTGAAACTGTTCAACCTGTTCTTCAGTCTCTTGTGAATTGTGTAGTGCTGGAATTAAGGTTCTTTGCTAAAAAACCAAAAGCATAACAAATTCCGGTCGTTTTTAGCTTGCTGTCTGTTCAGAGAGCGAAGGATGCTGGCATCTACTTGATTCTGACGACGACAGGGCACTTCTCTCTTTTTCCATTGCTCTTCACACCACCAGGTAAAGTGTTTTCCTTCTTTCCGTGCTTTCATCTTACTGCTTGTTTTTTTTTCCAGAGATGACGTGCCAGTAATGGTTTTGGATTACTTGATGTATTAAGTTGAAAGTTGCAAGAGGCTGTTTGTCAGCTGGTTTTCATAAACACAAACTCTCCAACTAGGGAGAAGAAACATTGGTTTAAAAAGCTGTGAAAGAGCTGTAGGCTTTAAATGGAAATAGGGGTGGGAAATTGTCATGGTTGATACTTGTTATCCTGCAAACCTGACAGGCTGTTTTCCAGCCAACTGCTACTTCAGGCTATCAGTAGTGTGCTTAAACTAAAAAATTCTGCAGCAGCATCAGTTAATTCAGTATGTGTAGGGACAGGTTTGTCTTTGTGACCAAAGGCTGTTCCTTTCTTCCTCCCCTGCCTCACCTTTTGCTTCACTTAAGCCATAGGCCATCAGGGCTATGACAACACTGTCACACTGGATTGATTGTCATCCTTCTGGGAGGGTTCAAATCCAGGCACTCACACTCTTTTGGTTCGATGCTGCTGCTTATTTGCAATAGCGAAGCTGCTGCCTTGAGAAATAAGAAACTTCTGCTTTTTCTAGTACTGAATTTTTATCTACCTCACAACCTAGAAGTAGGTAACATTGATTTGGGTGTCACGTTTACGTTTTAAGCTTCCCAGCCCAGCAATTTCTGGTTGATTTTTTTAATAGGAAAATCTTATTTGCAGTGCTATTATATTGTACTTAGGATTAGTGTGTTTATAGGTAACGGAAGTAAGCGTATTGCAAATGCTTGGCATTTGCTTTAGTAAATATCTATACTTATTTTTAGGTGTTCTAAGCAGTAAAATGTTTATTTCTGTTTGGAGAAGATACTTAAGTTGGGCAATGCAAGTGTGGCAAGTAGGATTTTAAGATACTGCAATTTATATGGCAAAAGGTTTTTATAATTAATTTTAAAAGTACATTATGTTTCTTGTATTTCAGAGCTTCCCATTAAAATACTGCTTATGCTGCTGTTCACTGTTTACAGCTTCTCTTCACTGAAATCTCTGTTCAGGTAACTAAAAGTTGTTCCCAAAGCCAAGAACAAAACCATTTCTTCTGTTGCCAGGAGCAGTGTTGTCATAAGGGGCAAACAGCGCAGAAAACTGCTGCTGAAGCATCAAACAGAAGTGTTACTGGTCAAAAGATGTTGCTCCCTTTAATCTCTTCTCCAGAGACAAGGCTTAAATTAGGATCACTGATAACATCCTCGTTATGCTGATTGTGACAGCTACCTGGTTAGTCCCAGTGGACTGTCAATCCCCACCTGCTTGATGTGCTGTTAAAGCACAGAGGTGGAATGTTGTAGCCTGTGAGGATTCAGTTCAGTATTGGAGCACTTACTACAGCAAGTTTTTGAGAGACTGTTTATCTCTGCTAGCAGTTGTAAATACTGCTGTGGGGTTTGTGCACTGGTACTCAGTTTTGTCATGTGTGGAAGGGGCAGGTTATAAATAACCTACATTTGCAAGCTGTGATTTGTCAACAAATCTCCTGCAAAACACTTGGCTCTCAGGACATGCAATTGCCCAAATCATCCTGTGTATTTTTACAGACTGTTTATCCCTTACCCACTTGACCAAGATAGTGCCTGTCCTTATAACGTCCTGTAGTCTCCACTGCCCTATTTCCCAAACTTTTCATGGTAAAGCCAAGCTTTAATCATAGAATGGTTTGGGTTGGAAGGGACCTCAAAGACCATCTAGTTCCAACCCCCCCGCCATGGACAGGGACACCTTCCACTACATCAGGTTGCTCAAAGCCTCATCCAACCTGGCCTTGAACACTTCCAGGGATGGGGCAGCCACAGCTTCTCTGGGCAACCTGTTCCAGTGCCTCACCACCCTCAGAGGGAAGAATTTCTTCCTTATCTAAATCTCCCCTCTTTCAGTTTAAATCCATTGCCCCTTGTCGTATCACTACACGTCCTTGTCCAAAGTACCTCTCCAGCTTTCTTGTAGCCTCTTTAGGTACTGGAAGGCTGCTAGAAGGTGTCCCCAGAGCCTTCTCCAGGCTGAACAGCCCCAACTGTCACCCTGTCCTCACAGGAGAGGTGCTCCAGCCCTCAGATCATCTTTGTGGCCTCCTCTGTACTCACTCCAACAGCTCCATGTCCTTCTTGTGTTGGGGACCCCAGAGCTGAATGCAGCACTGCAGGTGGGGTCTCATGAGAGCTGAGTAGAGGGGCTGCTGGCCACACATCTTTGGATGCAGCCCGGGACACAGTTGGCTTTCTGGGCTGCCAGTGCACATTGCTGGCTCATGTTGAGCTTCTCATCAACCACCACCCCAAGTCCTTAATGAAGGATGTTGGAAATGCTGTAAACCTGTATTCCCTACCTCAGTTACCTGTTTTTTGTAGGTGATGCTCTTTCTGCTTTTTTCCCCCCATAGTATGCCAGAAGTCCATTATTCTGCTCAAGAACTCCAACTGAAAGCTTCTGTAGGAGCTTAGTTTCTGTCTAGAGATGGAGCTTTTGCAAGTTTCTTGTTCCTAACATTCCAAAACAAATTCCTTCCAGGAGAACATGAATCCCCTTGTAAACTACCTACAGTCAAAACCCTCCCACCACTGTCCTTTCCAAGAGAGGCTGAGTTGTAGTACTTCCTACAGAAAGTTTGGGAGAAAGGGGCAGAGGTTAAGATAAATCTGACTTTTCCAATCTTTGGATGTAGAACAGCTTCCATGGAACAAACCTGTGCATGAAGGTCTCTTGTTCAGTTGTTCACTGAAATGATGTGAGGGGAAGCAGAGCAGCTGCTGAGATTTCTACTTAAATTCCAGGGTATCTTGGAACTTGGTGTAGAACCCATGTGATAAGGAAACTTGCTGTCCTCTTATCACACGTTTTCCTACTGAAACTCTTTAGTGTGAACTATTGGGGGATATTCTTTGCACTGGTTACCAGTGAAGGCTGAAAAACAGAATAGTTATATTTAGTTAACATCATATATCTGGACACTTATTTATTTTCTTTTAATTCTTCTGACAGAAGAGAGAGGCCTCTCCTTAACTGGCTTGAAACAATCTACCTCATCCAACTAGTGCCTTTGGAAATCTTCTGTGAAATTATATTTCCTCTGACCCCCTGGAAACGACACTTTCCTTTTGTCCCTCTGTTGCTGACGTCTGTATACTGTGCTATGGGTGTCACCTACGCTTGGCTGAAACTCTACATCTCTGTCTTGATGGAGAGAATTTCTGTTAGGCAAAAGGCTGAGTAAAGCCGCAGCGCTGGGCCCAGTCCTGGGTTTAAGGGGATTATGGGACACAGTGAGGGGTTGTCACAAGGACATGCAACTCTTGATAAGACACAGCGTACATGTACCATCGCCGCAAGGTTCCAATGCTTCTATACATCCCAATGAGGATACCTCGGATCAGAAGCGCTTGTCACAACAACATGGGGCATGATGAGATACCATTTGCCATGAATAAACTGTGAAGTTTAATAAGGTCCAGACTTCTGTTCCAAGGAAAACTTGCCTGGCTTTCCTGCCACTGTATTTGAATAAAAATCACGGTGGCAAATTACAAGGGATCATTGCTGTGTAGAAGAGAGTGTTGTAGCTGCATTCTGTGGAATATGTGAAATAAAAACTTGGTTATTTTTTGTTTGAGCATTTCTTGTGGGTTTTTTTTTTTCATCTCATGTCTAAGCCCTACTTTTTGAGGGACACTCACACAAGTAAGGAGGTAGTGTCTAGCTGGAAAATTGTCCTGAGGTGCTTTGTCAAGCTCTTGAACACCCGCATCTGAAGCTTTATCATCTAACCTGGCCTTGAACACTTCCAGCAGCCACAACTTTTCTGGGCAACCTGTTCTAGAGCCTCACCACCCTCGGAGTGAAGAATTTCTTCCTCATATCTCTTTCAGTTTAAAGCCATTGCCCTGTGTCCTGTCAGGACACATGCCCTTGTCCAAAGCCCCTCTCCAGCTTTCTTGTAGCCCCTTCAGGTACTGGAAGGCTGCTATAAGATCACCCTGGAGCCTTCTCTTCTCCAGGCTGAACAGCCCCAACTCTCTCAGCCTGTCTTCATAGCAGAGGTTCTCCAGCCCTCACATCATCTCCGTGGCCTCCTCTGACCTGCTTCAACAGCTCCATGTCCTTCTTGTGCTGGGGTCCCCAGAGCTGAACGCAGCACTGCAGGGGGGTATCGCAGAGCAGAGGGGCAGAATCACCTCCCTCGACCTGCTGCCCACGCTGCTCTGGATGCAGCCCAGGACACGGTTGGCTTTCTGGGCTGCCAGCGCACGGTGCCGGCTCATGTTGAGCTTTTCATCCACCAGCACTCCCAAGTCCTTTTCCTCAGGGCTGCTCTCCATCCATTCTCCGCCCAGCCTGTCCTTGTGCTTGGGATTGCCCCGACCCACGTGCAGGACCTTGCCCTTGGCCTTGTTGAACTTCATGAGGTTCTCACACGCCCATCTCTCAAGCCTGTCCAGGTCCCTCT